CCTGGCATGTTCCTGGCACAAAGGCAGGCACAGGAGCACAAGCAGAAGAAGCAAAAGGGAAGGACAAAAATTATCTTTTCACAGCAGGGTGCTGGGTAGCACAGAACACATTACATAATACTCCAAGATAAAGTACTTACACATGCTTCTCCAAAACATCTACATCTGTTCTACATGGATCTCTATCTATGGCTTGGAAAAGGAACGTGCAGGGTTTCTGAAATACTATAGTGAATATGACTACGAATCACAAACATCGAAGATTAGTGCCAGCATAGGCAACCTAGGAGACAAATGTTAAATGTTTGCATGTCATCATCCACCAGGAACATATGGTAAGTCACAAAAAACACGGAGTAGGAGGATACAAAAACAAAACCCAAAAAAAAACCCAACTGAACAAAAAAGGTTACTCAACAGCACCGCTCACTTGATCAACACAGCAATAACTGAAACACCTGACAAGCTCCTACAGCTTTCTGGTAGCTCAGAGGTATCAACCCATAACATTCCACCATATTACAGATGAAATATGGTCAAGAAAAGCATACAGAAACCAGCAGAGCTGCACCCAACTGAATTCTGTAGTAACAAACTCCTGGAGTGTCTAATTCTACAGACTGTGAGGAATGACTAACTACCAGAGCGAACCAGGATCACTGGCGACCACCGCACAGAACGTGCCTCCCAAGAAAGGGAAGGGACAAGTACTGGGGATTTGGGACGTAGCAGCAGCATAAACTGACATCTTGCATAGCTTCCTGGTCAAAGTTGCAGAAATGCAGTTCAGTGCATTTATTTGGATATGTCTGTTTCTGTTGAAATCTGTAATAGGTAAGCATCAATACTAACGCCTCAGATTGCATCCTCAGGTTAATTAAAACTGAATTCCAAAGAAGCTCTGAATCCAGAAGTAGTACACATGAGAAGATTGCACCAGGAACACTCTACATATATCCTCTGACTCTACAGATGTTTTGTGCAAAGTATTTAACACACTGCAGGGAAAATATCTGCATCCACATGAAGTTTTTTTTTTTTAAAACTAATTTATTTAACCAAAACACACACCACTAGCTTTAAAAGTTCACAAACTGTAGGAGGGTTTTTACAGACAAAAGAGCCAATGGCCTGTGGTTCTGGTGACTGTATTAAAGAACTAAATGTGGTTTCATTTATGCTTAATCCACAGCAAACACAGGCTGCTACCAAAATGGCAGCCTCTTCCTCATCCCCAGCCACGCACTTCCATCTCCCAGCCTGACAGCAGACCCAGTGATCGTGCAGTCATCGGGTGAATTGAATCAGTTCACCAATTTGAAAATCAGAAACAAAAAGAAAGAAAAATATTTATCCGATCAGCACACTGACAGCTTACCCTGCAGCCACATCATCGCTAGAGCAGACAGAAGAGCAGGAGTGAGAACGCAGCGCTGCAAGCAGCAGTGGAGTGGGATCTCCCCTTTCAGGGACAGCTCCAATCAGATAAACCAGAGCATGAAGCTGCACACAAAGACCGTTGTTCGTGTACACCTTAAACCAACCCAAGCAAGCACTGGTGCCAAAAGCAGTCCCGGACTGGCCTGCCTTCCCTCCACCAGTCATCTGCTCCTGACTTTACCACCGCTCCCCTTTATGGTAGTGCTGCCGTTTGCACAGACTCATACTGAGGTGAACCAACTAGAAATTGGAAGTATTATATTAAATGGTTTTTTTCCTCTACTCTGATCAGTCCCCCTACCTGGGTTTATTAAATGGCCACAGAGATGTTAGTACCAGTACGAGAGAGGACAGCAAAGCAGGTCATGGAGGGCAGAGCTGCTCCTTTTAGCAAGGCTGCTGGTATTAAAGCAGCCTGAAGGACTCGCTGAGACAGAAACCAGCATCGCCAACCTGAGGACAAAACTGTGAACATGCTGTTTTACTCACAACTGGTTAGAAATGAATGCAGAACAAAGCAAAAGTCTTGCCAGGTGATGTAATCTATTGTGTTTCTTGCCTCTTTTCCCATATGTGCAGTCTTAGCTTATTATGGTTGCTACAATGTTCTTAACACTAAAAAGCCTGACAAAAAAGGAACTTACAAATACTTACTACTAACCAACATTGTTGGTAAATCATGCATTATGCAAGAGACTTTTTGCTTTGATTTATAAAGGAGCATATGTTTTGGAGGACTGTGCTGTGAAGGGCTCAACTTCCCAGATAAGAGGGGCTTTTTTAAAGTTACTTTTTTCCAAACCCAGTTAACTGCAGTTGGACACAGAATAAAGTGTAAGACACCTGTTCTAAATGTACTGGGCCAGGCCTGTAAGGAAACAGAGAAATCAGATCCCTATGTCTAACAGTAATACCCCAAATCTTTACTAACATTCAACTTTTTACAGTAAAATTCCCAAGACACAAAAACACTGTTTCTGACTTATCCAAACGTAGCTATTGGGTAGAAGAGTGTGTTCAAACTCAAAATTCCATGCAGGCATCCAAACACACCAAAAACATACTCAAGAAATAGGCATTAATGAAGACACAGTCACGCCAACGCTTTCATTCAGAAATACGGCCACAGAAAGCCACATGCAGCCCTCTGAAAAGGAGAGCAGACACAGGTTTCCTTCCTCCTAAGTGACTTAACCCTCACGCTCTGCGGAGGGAAACGGCTTCAGAAAAAAATTAACTACAAGTATTCAAACCTCTGCTATCCCCTATACACATGAGCAAGCAGAAGAGACAGAGAAAGCAAATTAGCACTTTCTCTTACACCAT